CAGCCATGTGCGCTCGAAAGAACAGCTCAGCATCTCTCTGATTCTGCGGTCCTTCTGGATCTCTTCATCGAAGATGCAGTCTATGTCACGAAAGTCCTGCGCAATAAATGTTAAGCGGCTCCATCTAGCTCTCCTTGTCTCCTTGTCTTTGAAGTCTGATGGCAGCGCTGTTGTGTCCTTGTGAGCAGAACGACTTCCTCTTGTCAACAGTTCACTGCATGAGTCGCTTGCAGCCCAGGGGCATCTTGGACGGGCTTTGTACGTGTTGGTGGAGGCCTGAGATGTGTGCCCTTTGCGTCTCCGAAAGCATTGGGGCAGGGGAGTCCATTTATTGCATGTTGCGCCGCAACGACTGTGTAGCCTTATTGAACCCATCTGAGAAATGCAGCTTCCTGGATCGTCGTGGTGTCAAGCGGTGATTCATTGGCCATTGGCCATTGGCCTCTGCAAAATTGAGGTCGAATCGGAAACGTTTCAGAACTTCGACGGCAGAGGAACGCCTCATATACTACTTGGATAGCCATTGACAAGTTCTGATCGAAGCAAGATGGACCGTGCAGGGATGGACAATCACTGCCCCCGAAAGCAGTATCTTGATGTATCTTGTGGTCTTGTTGGAGAATTCAAGAAGAAACAGATCGTGAAGGGTGTGCTTCGGAGGGCACTCGCACGGATGGTCGTTGGAGAGAAGCGTCGAAAAGGGGATCCGTGCACCGGCGAGCATCAAAGACGACCAGCCTGAGGGGAAGGGGACCGAAGGCAGCCCCGTCTGTTTACCGCTCCCACCTTGGTGGTTTGCGTCCTCGCAAGGCGGGCTCTGTCTGTGCAGCGCTTTAGCGACTAGGCAACTTGTCGCGACGCGGAACCGTAAAGGCATCAGCAAGCTCCTCGACATGGTCCGACGAGATTGGGCTGCACAGATCAGTGTCTCTTGGCATCGAAGCTGTTGCGGACTTTTCTTGAAGCCGACTGTGCCACCAACTGCCTTGGCCTATCCTTGCGATCACCAACCCGGTGAAATCCGACTTCAGAGAGTATCTCGAAGTCTTCAAAACGTGAAGAGTGCGCAAAAGCCCGGCACGTCATGACATGGTGCAGACCGGGTCCAGCAGCCTCCATGCATCACATGTGACATGTCGGGTAGAGCCTCTGAGGCATTAGCAGGACCGAGACGGCATCTGCCCCCAGAACCTGAAAGGTACCGCATGCAGCTGAATCTTCGGGGAGCTTGCGCAATCACGGCCTCACGAAGACCCACGTTTCCGCCACCGGTCATGACAAAGATCTCAGGATACCTAACAGGAGCTGGCTTGGAACGCTGGAAGTAACTGTAACGAGGATGCAAACAAAAACCCACAGACACACACACACGCACACACACACACACACTCACACACACACACACACACACACACATTTGACACAATGTGTCGCAGGTCTCGAAGCACTTGTTCAATCGTTCATCTCAGGAGAGAATCAGTCAGATTGAGACCTAACATGTACTGTCAACACACTCAAAACAGTAAGCCACGGTCACACAGCAACGCGTCAGTCTAACTCATCCGACTGGCGTCAAAGATCGCAGTGCATTGAACTCTGCACATCTACCGATGGGTTCCCAAGCTGCCACAACGTGACCCATGAGCACCTCTTTGCAACTACACGAGAATGACCAATTCTCGCCTCCCACTCATGTCCACAGCTTCGCTGCATGTGGTAGGACATGAGTGCCACATGCCCCTGCTGACATAGCTTCAAGCGACTCACTGCACCCAGCCCTTCGAGACAGGGTTTGACACACACACACACACAAACATGGCCCATTCGATGGCAGCCTGCGTAAAAACTCTGCAGGCTTGCCGTCAATGATGGCAGTCACCGGCTTTTTGAAGCGCTGCCTGGCCAGTCTGATCCCTCGAAAGGGGCTTCGGCCAGTGGCAGGAAGAAGTGTGCGAATCGCTCTCTTTGACGGCGCCACGCAAGATGTGGGTCATCTAGAACTCAGCTAAGTGCGCACTGCAACGCTTCCTTAATCTGTGTTAACAAACAGGCCAGCGGGTCAAGAAGCGCCCACAAAGCGATGAAATGTACACCTCATGCGTTCACAGCTATGGTCAGTATCCCCAGCAGCCTCGCAACGAAGCAGAGATGTGGCTGAGCAGCGGAGTCCACACCGTCTGCAAGAATTAAGCGTCGAAACTCCTTCAAGCAAGTCACACTTGCTCTGGTCGACACGTCGTGGCAGGATCTCAAGGCACAATCCTCCACAACATGTTCTTCTGTGAGTATGTCCGGAACCTCAAAGGTGGCCTCCTGCAGTGAGCATCTGTGAAGTTCTGCGCTGGGCACTGAGTCCACTCCTCAGCCTCCGCAGGTTTCAAGCCGCGGCGAGCCTCTCAGACGTGAGAAGCGTGAGACAAGAGGCTTCGGGCTGTGAACAAGCCTTTGGAACTGCCGTCTCCATCAGTCGTTGGACTTCTGGCAAGCTTTCGTACCTGTGCTCAAGCTGCTCACAAGATTAGACCTGCAGCTCCATTCAGGGGCCACTTCTTCAGTGTGACGTTGCCAGCTCCCAACACAAGGAAGGAGTCTGGGTGCCGCTTGAAGAGATCCAAAGGTCGACTGGAGATCACACTGGTTACCGAGGTCCCATTCCTGACAAAGGGACAGCCCACCGAAAGAGAAAGAGCCAGCCAGGCACTCCTTCCAATTGAAGGCTGTGGCCTCTGAATGAACTTGCCGCAGAGTGTGGAGATGTAGGTGACGGGGCCCAAAGACTGCGCATCGTAAGTATGGCAGAAGGCCGTCTCCAAACACTGCCGCTGCCTCTATGAGTTGAATGAACTCCCTCACAACCTCGAGGACGCCAGAAGATCTATTTCACACAGGAAGGCACAAGGTTTCTTAGGTGGAAACGAAACTCTCATCCATCTCAGCCGCCGCAACGGTCGCCTCAGATCCATGCGAACAGGAAGGTCTCCGCTCATAACGCTTTTCTGCATGAAAACGTTCCGGCAAGAGTGGGTTCACCTGCTGTGAAAGCTGCTGAGGCCTCCACACCCCTATCCAACAGCTTTACGGTCTGCTGCACGGGGTCATACTCGAACAGGCTGTCCTTCCTCTGTAAATACTCCACCAGGGACATTCCAGCAACGGCAGAGACCGACGTTTTGTACCTCCATTGCAGGCATGAAGTCTGCTGCGGAACGTGTGGTGCCGCCCAGGCCTTTCCACGAAGAGGGCGTCAAGCTCTTCCAAGGACAAGGGCCCCGGCCTAGAACTCGGAGTTTCAAAGGCAAAACATATGCCGAAACGGCGGAGCCAAGGCCGAGGGGCCGAGCCAGGAGAGCTCGGAGGCTCCGCGAGAGCTCCGAGTAGCGCATCGGCGAGCCCGGCTCGGCGAGGGCGAGGCCTTGCTCTCGCTCTTGCTCGGCGGGGCCGTGCGCCGGCTCGGGAAGCGCCCTGGGCGCCTTCAAAGTCCGCCGCTCTCTCGAGTCTCAAAAGCGTGAAATCGAATCTTGCACCTTCGACTCAGGCTGCTGTGAAGGTCTGGCCTGCAGAGCAGGTCTAGTGCAGGACCTTCCACATCTGTGTCTCTGGCATTGGTGTCTGCCGCACCTTGAGCCGGTTACTGTCGACGATTTCGAAGTGCTCTGGAAACTCATGCACAAAGGCCGCCAGCCTAGGTGGAATGGGGAGCAGAAGCGAGAGTGGACCGAATGCAGCTGTGAGATCAAGCCGCTTCTCCGGCCCTAGCCGCACCAGTCCACTAAGGAGACGCCGAGGCGGCCGAGGCTGGGAAGGCCCCCACTTGCCGTTACTTGCATGTGTCATAAGCTCTTCAGCATTTGGGGAGAGAGCGGGTCCGCTTTGTGGCACCCATAATTCTTTCTTGAGTCTTAGGGCGCAACGTCATCTGGTCGTCTCGACTGATCTCCTTCAACTTCTGCACGAGGCTGCGGCCCTGACTGATGCTGTAGCAGGACCTGGGCGACTGACCATGCTGGCCACTTTCATCAGTGACCGTTTGCACGATGGCATCAAGCGAACCCTCTTAGGACAGGACGCTAGCTGGTTATGCGTCATAGTTTTGTCACGCAGCAGCCCCTCATCGCAAAGACAAATGTTCGTGAATCAGTGCATTCGAAGTCCGTCCGTCCTTGAGTTGGAGGGCTAGCTGTTCAGCATCACCTCGATCCCCGCAGTCTTGCATCACCAGCACCTTCAATTTGTGTCGGAACGTTTTTATTCCCAGAGCGCAGAAACATACTACCGGTCACTCTCTCCTCTGACCTTGAACCCGGCGTCACGTCATTGCCCCACAGTAACATAGTGCACAGATCCCTTGGGCACGTGGGTTCCTGCGGATCCCCTGGCCCAGGAACATTCATCAGCTATCAAATCATGCTTCCTGCTATCTTTCGAGAGGCATGCCTGAGCCAGAAAAGAACTCAAGTTTCACATGCAACTGTACGAGAGCTTGGGCAATGCAACACAAAGTAGCACGTCCATCTTGCTCTGCCCGATTGCTGCGATGCTGCGGCCGCTGCAGAGAAGTCGACAGAGCGCAGTCGTGGCAGCAGGTGCATGAGGCAAACAGGGGTCTACAAGTTTGCGCAGAAGGGTCATCCAGAAGAAGATAGGAGAACGCCATCCGTGTTTGAACGCTTGCATACTTTTGTACAAATCTGCGGTCGCTTGACCGGAGCCAAGGATGCATTGATCCGCCACTGGACTGGGCGGAAACATGACTCACATGACCTCGACCTTCTCCACGTCCCCTTAGGCCTGCCTTTGCTTCATCAGCTGCTGGTAGAGCGACTCCTCCTGGAAGCCTGGCAGAGAAACTCTGCACAGAAGGTCTCGCCATGTCTCGCCACTACCACCAGATGCGCACACGCTGGCGTCAACACTTTCCACACAACTGATCAAGACTAATTCTTGTTCCCAACCTGCAAAAGGATTTTGGTGGGATTCCGATAGAGCCGGGACTTTACCTGCTAAGACACCCTGACTCCCAAACTCCCCCACATCAGAAGCACCCCGAGGCCAAACCCATCACAGCTGACCCTCTCGATGTCGCAGCATGCCCTAAGATCATGGCCTTTCGCTTCAGGCCTTTGCCACGTGGTCTCTGCCAGCTCCTGCTGCGACTCCGTGGCCTCGATCAAGCATGAAAGGCTAGGATGGCTCGCATTTTGTAGGCACAGACGGTACCCGAACATCTTCGCTTCTCCCCAACTGTACACTGTCGCCTTCGCAAGCCACCCGGACCCTACAGCCAACAACTTGGATTGGTCTGGCGGACAGTCGCAAACAATGAACGGCCTTAGGTGGGAACCCACACTTCGCATCATGCGATGTCGGATCGATTCCGCCACATCATGTGGAACTGCTTGATGGTCGGCCGCAAAAGCTCTGTAATGGTACACACAGCTGGCAGGATTGGACGACATTTTGTGATTGGTTGTGTGGACTGGCTGCGTCGTATCGCCACCCTCCAGAGACTCCCTGCTGCTTGCCGCCCTATGCAAAGCAAGCTCGTGCAACAGCAGCCAGCCTTGTACCAGACTGCTCACGCACGCCTGTGCCGCACTAGTACTAGGATCCCAGCAGGATTGAGATTGGACTCTGCAAAAGCGGCCAAGCACGACACTCTGCTCTGCTTGGCTCTGCTTCAACCGCCGGTGCCTTGCTTTCGTCGAAAACTCTACCGCTGGGGAACATTTTGACGGCAAAAAGTGGGAACTTCCACCGAGTCAGCATCGGAGTACTGCAACTGTCTCGTGCGTGTCCGAGGCTTGCACCTTGGCCCTTGAGAGCGACAGTCCTGAGGACTCAGGATTAGCAGGGGCTGCAGGGGCCGTGACGAAGTCGCGACTTGTCGAGAAGCGTCCTTGCAGCGGCTCCCCTCGCCATCGCCCAGCTCGGCGCGGCAGCCACAATGGCAGTTGCACCGCTCCGGAGCCCAGAGCGTGTCAAGCTCAGCATCGGGCTCTCGAAGCTGCACCTGCCATTCGCTTCAGGCTTCTGACGAATGTATCGAGATTCCAATCAAGATACATGTGGCGCTGTGACAGATCGGACATTGCGAAGAGCATCGGAAACACTCGTTACGCACTTTCTGGCTGCATCTTCCACTGCCACCAAGACGAGAAACTGTCAAGGTCTCCGACACAAGTCGCAGCCCTCCCCGGTCGTCCGAAACGCCCCCTCTGTGGGACGGGATCTGCTTCCGATTGGCCCATTCCCGCGTGAGTTCCTCTTCAGCGTTCGAATGCTGCTGCCGGACATTTGTGGACAAGGTGGCTAAAGGGTGGACTCGGCGTTTGCTGGTAAAGGCCGAAACAACTACAAGTACCAGCACGGACAGTTCGATGACATCCTACAAGGCCATTTCTTTCCGAAGCGGGAATCGACGGCACTCTTTGTTTCGAAAGCACGATGCGAAAAGTCAGGCAAAATGGAGGCATGGTACTTGGGCGAACGGCAACGATGCACGAGATCGGAGGTCTGACAGCCACCGAAACGCGAAAGCACGGACGACAAAGGCTCAATCGCATCTTCTGCACGAGAAGCCTTGCAGGCGGCTGTCATTTCTTTACAACGTTTTCCAACCGACAACTGTCTAAAGGATCGTGCCCGGAAGAGCAGCCTCCTCACCCCAGTGGGTCAAATACATACAGCAACGGTATCGAAGGTCACGCGTCGACAACTCGTGGGGCCAATTGCGAGAGCAATTCGAAACTCAGAAAGACCAAATTCTCTCCAGGCTCCCAGTCCCAGCTGCCGGCTATGATGACACTTGCTTGCGACCAATGACAAGTGGAGCCACATCTGCATATTGCAACACAGCACGAACAACCGCAGATGCCTTCTCCCACGTTTTGCGAGAAGGTGCGTTTGCCCCATCTGGCCCACCTTTCCCACAAAGGAAAGCTCAAGAATAATGCGCATCGGAGAGCGGTCAAGCTGCCTGGCTGCGGCGTTTTCCTGAAGACTTCATAGATGAGGCTTGCACGCATCCCCTTGCCTCAAAGGAACGACACATTCAGAGCAAGTTCAGCACACTGGGACTGGGACCCCAGAGCCTGCGTACTCACTGTCGAGCTTCTTCTGGGCCCTCTCAACTTGCCTCTGATCCATGGACTCATTCTCGACTGTTGCCTTATCTTGCAGCCGTCAACAGAGTGTCGTTGCCACGAGTAGAGTCGATGACAGCTGCGGATAGCTTGCAGCCAGAGTCGCAGATGCAACCAGATTGCGCAGTCCGAATCCACCCCTCTGGTCAGGGTTGACCAGTCTGCGACATCGATCGGACTCGGAGGCATGCATACACCTTGAACGGCGACACTTAACGTCCAACTGTCAAGCCGTTAGTAGCGACAAGGGGACCTGCCGAAGGTTTATTCTGTTCAAGACTGGGAAACGACATCTGGGGAAGTTGAAGCCGTACTCGCATCTTGCACAGTGCTTGAGCAAGCTCGACAAGCATCACGTCGTGCGCAACAGCCGAATCTGCATCAGGCTCGTACATTGTAACGTTTTCGAAAAGCTGTTGTCCAAGCGAAGTTTGAAACCTTGTGAGCCACAACTTGCCTGCAGGCGTCTGGTGGAGAGACACTGTACACGCCATTGCGGAACCAAATTGCAGCCCCCTAGTACTACGAGAGCGGCGGGCTTCGCCGCTTCCACAAACATTTCAAACGCATCGATGTCCTGCCATGGTCTTTGGCAAAGGACCTTCACCAAGAGCACGGAGCCAAACCTGTGTAAGGTTTCAATGCTCGGGCCTGTGGTCAAAAGAGCCACTCGCGCGTCAGGAGTAAATGCCTCGGCTGGAACCGTGAAGTCCCTTGGGCCACCGCGACCCCCGCCAGTTCTGACATCTGACAAGGAACGCTGGATCGGAGTCCTCTTTGACGAGAGACTCTCTGCCTCAAGGATGCAGCAACCAACACGTTCAACAAACATGCCGCATGTAACAGGCCGATCAAGGAGCACAACGGGCATCCAGGATGTTGATATCTTTTGGAATGGACCCAGTCCTGGATCGAAGACAATCTGAGCCTCTACATGCAAACATGCGCGCCGCATCCCTGCTCCCACACTTTGCAGCCTCTGTTGAGGTTGAGGGCGGATCATCGAAAGCCTTCTGCTTTGGATTTCGGGGCTTCACTGCCACCGCCCGCGCCCGCTTTTCCTTCGCCTGTTGCTTGCCGTGGGCCTCTTGTCGAATCTTCGAAGGATCGAAAGACTTCGTCCTTCCAGGTTCTCCGGTTCGAGCTTCGTCGTCCGTTTGGCTTTGAAGCCCGGCAAGCAGAGTCTTTCTTCTAAGAACGGGTGACCGCCAGTTAGGAAGCCTATCGAAAGCAAACATTGACCTTTGCATTTTCAAAACTCTCACAACGAGCACGGAAGCCCAGTCGGGAAACGACAGCGGGACAGTGACAAAATTTGAAAACAACAAGGAAGCAGTGACGGTCAGCAAAGCCGCGAGTCCAAGAAGGAACAGCAGCATAATGCGCAGCACATGCCAACCCGCGAACAGGCACAAGAACGGCGAGGCAAATCCTTAACAATGAAATTTAAGCTCGAACAGCAAGTCTGGTCCAAGCCTACAAAAGCCAAAAAGAAAGGACCACTGCTCAGTCGACCTACTTTACAACCCGCCGGTGGTGATGGCTGATGAGTCCCAAGCCTGCAGAATGCAGAAAACCCTGAATTCTTTTTCGTAGCCACTATGCTCGCGTAGCCGCAAGAGCATCCGGAGCGTCAAAGCACGCTGGAATTTTCATGCGACGGAAGGAAAGACCAATTAAATCATGGGCGGACACCCCGTGCCCTGAAGGAAACACCTCGAAACCACCGGCCATTAGCGATGGATAGCCAAGCACAAGGTGTGGTGGGCACGAATGCACGGCAAACCCTGCTAACAACCTCAATTCTACAAAGGTCACAAACCCCCAAAAGCTTCATGCCTCGCAGTCGTTGAAGCCTAATCGGAACGACGGCGATAAACACTGAGCCCGGAAGAAGACAGGGAAACGGCATCAAACCCTCAAGGCCAAAGGCGGCAGACTCTAGATCTTGAAAGCAGCTGTCACTAGCCACCCCTAACCACAAAAAGGGAGCGTTGTCAATCATGTCCGTATCGGAACGGAGGCCAAGATGGTTGCTTCCAGACTGCTGGCTTCCGCGTGTTCCGGCAGAGTGACAGAAGGAACACTCGTCAGTGTATGCTTACGAGATTCTAGATCCGGAGTCCTCCAAGCAACTGCGGTGAAATTCATGGCCACCTTCGCAAGTGGTCGAAAGAAAATCCCAGGTGCCAAAGGTGAACCCACGAGGCATCCACAGGCCGTCTGGCACAAGTCCTCCGTAGCTTGTAAGTCCTGCCAAGGTCCCACAGAGCAATGCATAACCGGAAAGCTTCGGCTTCGGGTTCCTGCAAGCACACGGAGCATTGCACGACGGTCTGCCGTGGAGGCCTGAGCAGAGCCGCTTCGGAAAACTCGAGGGTTACTGCAGAACCCGCTTAGGGACCACGCGGATTGCGCAGGTGTGACAAAGGACCCCTCCACCTGTCAGTTGAAGTGCCGTCGCAAAACTGAACACATCGAACTGATAAACTACACCATGTCGGAAACCCGGTAAAGACCAGGCCGGGACCACCCGTCACAGCTCAGCGGCGACACCCGACGCAGGAGCGTCAGCAAGGAAACCTGGCAGCGGGAAACAGTCACCAGAGTTCTACGACGAAATTGCAACTTCTCTGTGGTTACATGTGTCCTCATATGCTGCATCCCTATCGTCAGAATGCAAACGATGCCGTGCTGTGTTCAGGCCCAGCTCGCAGTAAACGGAACCACGACTCTGTACGAAAAACTCTTATGCAAAAGATTGGGGTGATTTTGTGACAAGCGCCGAGTTAGCCTAACAGTTAATTTCCGTCATGTATTGTATTAAGTACATTCTAACAACATGACTCAAATTACCATAAGTACGTTCAAGTCAAAACTCGTACTACTATTAGGTAACTCCTACTACTATTAAGTACTACTTTCAGATGTCATACATACTATTCCGACTACTACCGGTTCGACAAAACACTGTACACAGTCTTACTGCGACAAGACATGAATAAGATTCCTGTGACTCGCATGCAGGAACATAAACTGAAACTATGCAGCATATGACATGATCGTCAAAGGGCTGCATCTCCGACAATTGGCTTCAACACACGTGCGCTAGAATACAGCTGCGTATTGAAGTAGAGGCTCAAGAGTCTCAGATATATCACCCTGCGATGTCATGCCAAAGCCTGTCACGAGGACATTTGCTTCGCGAATAGCTGTTCATGATTGCCTCCAGTTACACTGAGCCTCTGGTATTGGCGGGGTGCTCACAACTCAAAACGCCTCAAGGCATAACGAGCACTGGAACTCTTCAACTTGCAGGCATGGCCCCCCAGGCTCCCATTTCAGCATTGCCATATGCAATGGGCGCTATGTGCGCACACCTCGAGCCACGAAAAGTTCAAGACAAGCGATGCAAGCTACAGTGTTACCGTCGTGTTATCTCCGACCACGTCCGTTCCAAGTACGGCACGGTTGGTAACAAAGCACCAGAAGCACAATGAGGACCTGACAGTTGACTAAGCTTGCTGTTGAGAAGAGTCTAATCCCGGTGCTAAGCATCCAACAAGCAGCACAACCCCGTCGATATGCTTCCGCCACCGTTGCAGGAAGCGTCGGTACGTGCCTCCCGAGCGCAAGATGCCAAACCCCTTTCTTCACAGCCTCCGGAGCACTGTTCCGTTAGAATCTCCCGCCAAAGCCTCCTGCTGCGTTGGACTCCCTCGGCGTGGGGAGCAGCACCGCGAAAACTGGCGATGCAGCCCACCTTGCAGCCCGCAGCCCGAATCCGAAGGCATCAATCAATCAACACACACACACACACACACCATGACTGCCTCACGCCCGTCGTGCAAAAGACGGAAAATCACTGGAAACAGAAGTTTGAATAAATAACCTTGGTAGTTCATTGTTCTGGCTTCTGGGGAGACACTTACCTTTAGACTTGATTGTCGGTCTTGTTCCGCACCCCTGTCCGGAGAATTAGCTCTGGATTTAACTGTTGTCTGCGGTTGGGGTCTCTGAGGGGAATTGACTCAATTATCTCTGGATTTAATTGTTTACTTGGAGTCCTTCGAGGGGAGCTAACTCCGGATATAATTGTTTTGCAAGGCTTCGGAGTCTTGGGGTTCCATTCCTGCTGCCTCTCTGATCTACGGCGAAGCGAGGTACTGATGGCTTTATCCTTGCCGGAGCACCGAAAAACAATTACATCTGGAGTTCATTCTTTCCGACGACCGGAGGTGTGGAACCGAAACGAAGTACCGATAGCTTGCTACATCTTGCTACTATTTCGAAGCGAGGTAGCGGTGGAGGTGTGGAACCGAAACGAAGTACCGATAGCTTGCTACTATTTCGAAGCGAGGTAGCGGTGGCTTACGCTTTTCCGGAGCACGGAAAAATCAGATGAGGGGTTAAGTGTTTTCAAGACCCGAGATTCCCTGCCCCTGACGGACAACCAAAAGACGCTTAGGCGTCGACCATAGAGATACACCGGAGGCGAAATCCAAGGGAATAGTGCACCTGTGCCATAATCATGGCATGGCGCGAGTCTCCTGCGCTCCACCGGCAACGGCCTGGGTGGCGCAACTTGCTGCCAGCCCAGAGCTGTGCAAACATTTGCGAAGTAATCCACATCACCAGGGCCTGCAGGGTGAGGCCAACTTGCAGAGAATCCCCGCTAAAATGTGGGCAAGAACAATGCTGAAGTTGCAACAGCAGCCCGCTATCCGCAAGAGCCGAAAGTGCTAAAGAGAGTGACGTGCTGCATGTGTAACCCAGTGTGTAACTGCTGACGTGAAGTCGGAAGACGTGAATGTCAGGGACACATGTTTCGGAGCTGCCTACGACGTTTCCGCCGAGACCGCTGGTCTCGCCTGGATCGCGCGATCCAGAAAGACCTGACTTTGTCACGGCACAGCAGCAGGAGGATGTAAGCACGGCAACAGAACGAAACAGCTCTAATTTCTGCACCTCGCTTTGAAGTAGCTCCTCCTGCTCTTTGTGTGGCTCCGCAGGCAAGCGCAGTGAACGTCAAGCCGACGAGGATGTACACAACAAGAAATCTCATTAGTCTCGGTGACATCCGCACCTCCGACAAAGTCTGGCAGATACAAGCAGCGCTCTGAGACTTGCAAGATATGCTGCCTAACGTGCAACAGCCACAACAATCGTAAATTCGCAGCCAGTTGATACGGACCTGATCAAAATCCTGGTCAAAAAACAGCGCCGTGGCATAGAGGGTGATGAAACCTGATACGCTACAGCTGCAGGTCAGAACGTGATTCTCTACTCCACTAACTAGCTCTTGCGTCATGCAACGACAACAAAAACTGGACTATACGCCACAGGCTAGAACTGCTACGTCTCACTCACGCGACTGCGACTCGCTTCAGTCGCAGCACCTGTGGCGAGGAAAATGAGAGCCAGCTTTGCCAAGCCTGCACACGCAGGCCCAGCAACCAAGTACGTCAAGCCGGCCATGAGCAGGACCTGCAATTCCACTGAATCAGGCTTTTGCTAGCCGTGGCTCCGAAGGCCCTAACTTTCCGTCCTACCAGGTCGTGTATAGTCGCATAAGCCCAGACAGTCCAGTGAATGGCAAGAATTACGGAACCGCAGCGCACTTTCAGCATCCCTTGCGCCTTGGCACTCATGCTTCGCCACACTTGCAGATCAGCAATCAAACTTGCGCGTCGCAGTTCTGCGACTTCTCCGTCAGCCAAGCCCCCAGACCGCCACGCAAAGCGCCCCACACAAACCAAACCTCCAACGACGGCGAGGTTGCAAAGTATCGCCGCTGTCGCCAAGGGTATCGCGCAACCAAGAGGAGCTGGACTGTTGGCATCCACATGCTGGCCATCCGTGCTGCAGTAAAAGCTTTTCGTCGCGCCTTGGATAGCCTCCCGACATATCATCGTAATCGCGACCAAGCAAGCCACAAGCAAGAATCCAGCGCACGATACTTGTCCAGGCAACCCTCTCGCGTTGTCCGTCGGATCGGTTGTCTCGTCAGCGGCAGGGTCTGCGAACAAGCGGTCCGTATTCGGGAGCTGCACCCTTGTTGGCCTCGTAGAGCCTTGCGAAAGCATGCCAGGATCGATCGTGTTGACATCAATCCCGGGTCCAAGACCAACAACTTCCAAAGAAAACATATCTCATCAGGCTGAAGCAATTAAGAATGGAAATACCAAACCGTTACCAAACCGGTATGGAAGTCGCTGCTAGAAAGCTGATATCAACAGCCAGATGCCGAGGCACCAGAATCATTTGGAAATGGTGCAGAGGGTAACAGTGGCGCGGATAAGGGCGCCCCGGACATGCCAGTGCCCTCTTTAGCTCTTCTTGGTTCTGGTTTGAGAACTGGTGGGTTTGATCGTATCTGACATATTTGTACCAAGCGGTTTGCAACATGCCTGAATCTGAACAAAGAGTTGAAAGACTTGTAAACATGTTGGTTTTCATTGCAGTTCTTGCTTGGTGGGACATGCCGCGACATCTCGTGAGCCAATGGTTGCAAGCCGATGGGTTCTGATGGGTTCGTCCATTGCTGGAAAAATCTCAATCGCAGGGGCCGGGAGGCCGGGAGCTGTATGGACTGTGTCTGGAGATCTATCGCTCCTCACGACGCTGAGCATCTCGACTTTAGACTGGCAATGCAGAACAGCGGGTGCTTGCTTGAGCACACGGGGATACAGGAGTCAAAGGATCTTGGCCACAATGCACACACACCCAGTGGCTTGTGAAATACGGCAGTTGGTTTCTCGTATTGTGGAGTCTTGTGCCGCAAACCATCCGCCCTTGGTATCACGATGAAGAAAACCTGTCAAGACACCCACTCGAAGTGCAAGATATGCACGGCACTGTTTGGCAGGCGGCCACGCGCGGGACCGTGTTCGGAAGACGATGCACACCCCAAAATATGCCAAAATAGGTGCAGCGACACTAAATGAGCCCTTGGCCCCTTACCCTCCAACCAATCCAAACCCTACCAAATTTCCAAACCTTGAAGGAACTTAAACCCTAAAATTTGGAAAAGTTGTACACCGAAAAATCTTCATGCATCCGAAACTTTGCAACCCATCACTACCTAGCTTGGAAACCGTTTCAATCCAGCTGCAAGCAAGGCTAAAGCCAGAAAGTGCGAAGGTAATGCGTCCTAGGCCGGGGCAGAAGAAAACTTAGGGTGCTGTTTTATGGCTAAGCTGCGGCAGTGTTCTTTGAGCCACGCGCATGCCAGGCGTGCTAAAGGTATGCGGATGACGGCCTTGGCCTTCGAACGGAGATTCAGGCACTCTTCTGCCCACTTGCAGCATCTATTAAACTGCTAATCAGCTTGAGCTGAAGTTGAATTTTGTCATGGCGAGACAAGTTCACAGAGCCCTCCAAAGTCCACGGCTTCTGAGGTCTGTGGGCAAAATATTTTTCCAGTCGGCCTCGGCTCAGACTGTTCCGCCTACTAGTTGTGGGCTTTTGCGGCTTGTTCATAGCTTCCTCTGCAGGCATGTTTTCACTTTCCAACGTATGCAGTTGCTACGCAAATTCCTGGTGGCCGTGGTAGGAGCTAACGAACGGAGCGGGGCTTCGAAGGCTTGAAAGGCTTCAGAAACGGGGGCGAAAAAGGGGATGGGGTGGGGGCTGAAAGGACCTTTGAAGCACTTGAAAAAGGGGGGCTTGGAAGGCTTCGAAGAGGGAAGTGAAGGGGGGCTGGAAGGGCTTCGATGGGGCTTCTCGGGCTTCGAAGGGGGCGTCGAAGAGGGCCTTGAAAGGGGCGTCGAAGGTTCAAAGATTTCGAGATCGCGCACAGAAGGCCACCCTTCCCTGCCGGGTACCAAAAACACGCAGCAGAAAAGAAGCCGGACATTCGCGCTTGAGGTAGCCAAACAACATGAAAAGGAAAAGAAAAGAAACAACAATAAACCTATTTCCGCCTTGAAAATGAAAGAACGCACACAAGAGTGCGAGTACCAAGATCGTATGAAAGGTGTAGTCGAGTACAACACAAACAAGAAATGATGTTTGGGTTCAAAGAGCTAGAAAACGTCAATGGGCATTATGATTCACGATGATGACAAGGGAAAGGCGTTCTCGGATGTCAGCAGCGTCGTGCGCCAACAAAGCTTTCTTCAGAGCCTGACGTGTAGCTCCACTGTGCTGATTAGGGAGTTGGTGCCGTCCCTGCCTAGCTAAGTAAGACGCCATGTTTTAAGTTGCGACGGGCCAACATGCCAAGAAAGAGAACCGCCATGCTGCAGGCACACGCAGCTCCACTTCAGCTCAGCAGCCGGCACTGCAAACAGCAGGGAGCCAGCTGTGCACTGGTGAGCAAAGAAAAACAATGAAAATAAATCAAACACAAAAAGGAGAAAGCTACGGAAGAGATTAACAGCGCAAAGAAAATAAAAGGCAACATACTCCTTCTAATAAAAACGTCTTCTCCACACAAAAGAAGAAGCTATGCAGTTTTTATGGTTTGGAACATTGGAAGTTCTCTAAACATGTTTTCTTGACAGAATCTGCACTCAACTTGTTTCTTGGCTTCTTTCTGGCATCCGGTCACATTCGTAAAACTGCAACCAAAAAGTCTTGAGAAGCAGTTTTCTTCCAGACCCTTTCTGTAGCCATTTCCCGACATTGGCTTGTTTCTAACCAGATGGAACCGTAAAAGTGGTGGCTTGTTCAGTGGCACTTGCACTTGGAATTGTTTTGTCAAGAGAGAGACCGTGTAATTTAGGCAACAATAGACGATAGAATGCCAAGAAAATGCTGGATACTGTGGCGTTGATGCTCTCAGAAATAGAAACTAGTTCTTAGAATTGTTTTTGAATTGCGACATTTCCACCAAATCCACAGGCATAACCACTGTCCATCCAGTTGTAACTTCACCCGTTAGCTTTGCAACCAGCAGACAAGCTTTCTTATGCGGAAGATCTGAACCATTACTCTTGGAAACTGTTGGACGTTGCAACCAAAAACACGTGAAGATCGTAGGGCCTACAGTTTTTTTTCTACCGTTTAGTTGCAATATCAAAATGAAATCGAGTTGAATTTCGACCTTTTTGGGGTTGGAGAATGAACGACACAGACCGCCATTAAAGACTTGAATTTTAAGAATGTGCCAGACAAACTCTGATTGGTTCTTAGAAGTTTAGACGTTGGTACTTTTACAAAAATAACGATGGGAAGGTGAGATGTCGGTTCCCATGCAAATCCGGCACTGGTGAGCAACATTTTTTTGACGGCCGTGCGTTTGCAGCCATGCAACGCCACTTCCACGTGCAAATAGCACATAAACAAGGACATAGAACTTTAAGACACCATGCGGTCGAAAAATGGATCTACTCTGGAGGCCCCTACACAACAGCCACCAAAATCCTGACAATTTGCGGACCCAGAAGCGGGCTTGTGGGAAA